GCTGCCCGAGCGCTACCGGCTTCATGGTTTGCCGGGCAGCCTCCAGATCCTGCGCCCCCAGCTGGGCGCTTCCCCTCCCGGGCTCCAGCTGCGCTGGGGAAGCACCGGCCGGGGGCGCAGGGTCTGGGGGCTGCCCGGCAAACCGTGAAGCCGGTAGCGCTCGGGCAGCCCTTTTCGTGTGGCTGGGAGGGAGGAGGGGGAATGCGGGGTGCTCAAGGGAGGGGGCGGAGTTAGGGCGGGGACTTTGGGGAAGGGGCGGAGTTGGGGTGGGGAAGGGGTGGGGCCAGGGCCCCCGTGGAGTGTCCTCTTTTTTTATTTTTTAAATATGGTAACCCTATTTTTTCACACCCCTGAGCAACAAAGGTTTTACAGACGGAAGTGCAGTGTAGACATAGCCTTAGACTGTCTCTTATTATGTGTTTGTGCAGTGCCTAGCACAACGGGACTCTGTTTATGGTTGGGTCTTCTAGGTGGTTCTGTAAGACTCCTATTAATGTAAGTTTGAAAAATGGAAGATTGCCTAATTGGATTTATCGCTTAAGCAGTATTATTAAGGAATCTTGGAACAGGGGTCATCAATAGGAATGCTATTGTTACTCAACTATTACTAATTCCCTCGCAAGGAAACCCTCTTTATAAGTTTAGATATGGAAATTAATAGGGAGAATCTTAGTTTTGCAAACCAGAGCAAGGTACTTTAAACCGCTAAAACCTGCATATGTTTGTTCAGAGATGTGGGGATGAATGTGCAGGGAGCTTGCATCTACAAACCTCATCCACAACTAGAAAAAACTTTTGAAAATTTGTTTGTGTAACAAAAAGTATTCTAGTGTGATTTAAGCAACCCTAAAAATACAGAGTTCTCTCCTGTACTACTTCCGTCCCCTGTCCTCAACCAAAAAGGATTTAGTCGCATGGGTTTCTTACTGACCATTTCATCGCTTTTCTAATAGCCTGTTCCCTAGGAACAGTTGAGTTGCTTGCTGGTAAATCTTTTCCTACATTGAGATGTTGAGGATGCTTACTTCTGAAAAGTAAATAAAATACAAAAACCTGAAAGGCAATAAAATAGAGAACAAAACATGGGAAAGATATAGTTGCATAATTATAAAAATACAGCAAGTAAATGCATGGGTGTGGCAAGCCAAATATGAGAAGCAGATGCTAACTATTGCTAGAGAGCAGATTTCTCAGAGACCCATGTGATTGTCTCTTTTTGGAGGGGTGGGTGGTAGTGGAGGGGGTAGTTTAAGTAATCCTAAATTTCTGTTTGAAGATGTTTGTTTTACTACCCTACTAATCTCTTGCAGTTACTTCTCTGCCTATTTCTTGTCTCTCTGTCTGGCAAGACGACTTCCTTATTTTCTCTTTTACCTCAGAAGATGGGCTAATTGGAGATGGATGTTTTCTTTCTTGCCAGCCTATGGTTTATTGTTCATCTGTGCTATTTTGGCAGTTTGTTCTCTTTACAATTTATACATTGTAAAATGTAAGATTTTTCAAGTGAAAATTGATTTAAAAATTTTGATTACTATAACCTTTTAAAAGTTATTCTAAAATGTGCTACATAATTATGAACAAGGATGTGATCTAGTGTTTAGTACTTCTTACACTACCTCTTTTTGATTAGCATTGTTGCTTTCAGTCTTTTTCAGTAAGAGAATACAATTTTAATAGTTTACATAGGTATGCTAGTGTTCTGTTTGGTGTAACTATGCTACATCAGAATTGCGGTATTTGGAGAGGCTAAATTATAGAATGCTGCATACACTGAAAAATATGTTATTCCTCAGGCAGTGTGCAGCTGTTGCTAGGTTACATTATTCTCAGATGCCTGCTCAGTGATGGCAGCATTGCAGCTGAAGGGGCTTGCAGTTTGAGTCTATGTACTTGCTTTTAAATATCACTGGATTTCCAGAGTTTTGTAAGCTCCAAGTTGCAGCATTAACTGGGTGATACAGAGCTCCAGAACTACTGGGAAATGGAGAATTAAAAAAGATAAAACAAGAAGGGAATGAATAAAGATAGACAAAAGACACTGAAAAAATGACATGCAGGAAAGCAAATGAGGGATTGTTTAGTGTAAGGAATTCATACTAAAAAAAATGGAAAGAGATCAACACAGAAGCATACTGAGAAGCAGAAACCAATGGAATTGGAGAGCAAATAGAACCAGAATAAATGAATGGGGAAAAAATTAAAATATAAAATGAAGAAATGCAAAAGAAATTTAATGCAAGAGTAGAAGAATGAGTAGTGGAAGAGACTAAAAACTGGGAATGGGAGGAGATTTTGATAGGGAAATAAGTAAACTATTGGACAAAATGAATAAAGAAAAACCTTTGCTTAAGTCATAGTAGTAAATTTTAAAGTTTTGCTTTGGTTTTGCAGTTGAGTTACAAAAGGAAAAATATTTCAAAATATATAGAATTAGGAGAGTGAAATATTGGGAGTGTATAAAGACAAACTGTTTTAGAAATGTTTCTGGTGTGAGATATTTTCTGTCGCTTAATGTAAATAATCCAATGGTGGGGAGAGGTGGGTGGAGTTGGTTAGTGTTCCATGCTGTAAAGCCTGTTTTAAAAAACAAACCTCATTTTTGTTCAAAACATTCCTCCATTTTACAAAACAAAACTTCAGAATATTCTTATCATATCAATAGTTTTGATTTCATTATAGAAGGTGAACAGAATTGCATTGTGTGCTACGAGTAATTCAAAGCAATTGTTTTTGTTTTAATAGTGTATTTGGGACCGTCTTGCTGTTGGTTTTAAACACAAGAACTACCGATCCCGAGAAGGAGTGTGTTTGTGTCTCGTTGCAACCTTAAATATGTAAGCATCTTGTTTTTATGGAGACATAAAATATTAAAATTAGTACTCTATCCTGCTTGTTTCTGAATGACTTTTCCATCTGAACTTAATACTTTAAGATGCCTGATGCATTTAAAAATGCTCTTACTAAATTGACTGGTCCAAGCTTTCTGGAGTTAGCTGAAAGAATGTTCATTTGGTGTGTGTGTGTGTGTGTGTGTGTGTGTGTGTGTGTGTGTGTACATTTATATTTTCAAGTGTGTAACCAATGTGCCAAGAGCTGGGGATCCATGAAAATGTTTACTTTAGCGATGCTAAGCTACAAAGTAAAACTTCTGTTTTGGTGTGGAAAAAGTGTTTTTCTCTTGATTGATTTTATTTTATTTTTAGTTATGGTGCACAACCATTAATCCTCAGCAAGTTGGTACCACACTTATGTATCTTGTCTGGAGACTCCAATAGTCAGGTAAGGGTTTTATTGCTATATATTACTTGTAAAGTGTGCGTTTTGATATTAAAAAAAGATGGTAAATTGATGTTATGTCCTTAAAGAAAAATCTTCATAAATCTTTTTTTATGCTGTCTTTTAATTCCACCTATTCAAGCCTTACCTGTTGGCTTTTTCTCCCTGAGCCTTATGTGTTGCCAGATGGACACAGTGTTGTGGGGGAACAGTTATGATATGTCTGCCTCAGTGGGGCCTGTTGGCTCTCTCATCTCATTTGTTTCCTGTCTCCAGCAGCTTAAATCAAATCACTGCTTGATAGTCATTTTCTGTAGAACATATTCAGAGAAAAGCAACAAAAATAATTGAATGACAGGAAGGATTAACCACAGACAGAAGATTAAAATGAAATTTGTATAGCTTGACCAATTGACTAAGGAAACATAGCAAGTATAAGATGAACACATCTTGCAGGATGCAGACAGGTGAGGCGAGATATTTAGGGAAGTACAAGGACTATAGCTAAGGCTAAGATTTTGTCATGGTTATTTTTAGTAAAAGTCACGGACATGTCACGGGTAATAAACAAAAATTCACAGAAGCCAAGACCTGTCTGTGACTTTTGCTGCTGAGGCTCCATGTTTTCCCCAGCTGGAAGCTGCAGGGAGGCCCCCCTCCGCCCATGGCGGCTGGGAACTGCAGGGTGACCATATTTCCCAAAGAGAAAATGGGACACCCCCAGCGGCTCGTCCGAGGCATCCCCCTCCCTGTGCGAGGCTATCGCTCAGGAGTATGTCACCTGCCACTGGAACCTTGTAGGAGGCCCCCTGTTGCCTGTCATTTCTGTCGCCTGTCGCTGGAACCTTGCCAGGGCCCAGCTGGCTGCCAGCTCCAGAATCCTGCAGCCCCTGGGGCTGAAGCAGAGATTGTCAGGGAGATCTCTGAAGTCATAGATTCCATGACCTCCATGACAAAAACATTGCCTTAACTGCAGCTAGTAATGAGATGAAATTAAGCAGAGAGATGGCTAAAATGAAAATGAGGAGAAAATTTCTGAATGGTGACATCTGCACTGTCGAATAGCCTTCAGATGGAAGTGGTTGAAGCCCCACTTGTGGTTTGTTTAAAATTGGACTTGGCAGAGCACTAGAAAATACTGTAAGGAAAAAAAAAAGTTTTGATGGGATATGGACTAGATAATAGGTCTTCCATCTAATTTATATGCTTCTGCTTTCAATTAGGCTAGATCCCTGTCTCCTTAATAGCATAGGGAGTTGTTTTCAAATCTGAAAGAAGCTTTGGCATTTTGTGGCTCACTTTTTTTTTTTTTTTTTTTAAAAACAAGTCATGGTATGGGACATATCTTTAATAAAGTGAGTATGTTGTGTACCACCTGCTTTTCTGTTCACAGATCAATAGCATTGCTGAACCAAGTACATTACTACTACATGTAAAGTATTAATATTAAGGAATTGTTTGTTTTAGCTGTCTTTAATATGATAGGTATGATGTAGTTTTTGGAGATACTCTCTTCCTTCTTTCTCTTCCCCCACTCCTTCTCTGCATATATTTCTCTACTGGCTGGTCCCCTTATTCTTTCCCTACCAGTGATTCTTTGTAGTAGTGCTCTTGGCGGAGGCAGGAAGGCTGGCTCTTGCTTGTTTCTCGCTGCTTTTTCAGGCAATCGGGTTCTTTTTACAGTGAAAAGCACAACTGGATTAGAAGCAGCTGGAACCAGAGGAACCAGCACTATTTGATCAGAATATATGGAATAATGTTTGGGATTGTTGATCTAGTGTAATAGGACTCGGAAGAAATTACCTCCTCCACCCCCCCCCCCCCCCCCCCCCCCCCCCCGTTTGATATCTGTGTCATCCCCTCCAGTGTTTCTGTTTGTAGTGTCACTGAGATGACCACTTCCCCAGACCTCTTGGCTAGAGGTCACTCTGCAGGTGGGCCTGCCTCAGTTCCCTCCTTTCCCTTTCCCCTTTCAAGGGGGTTCTTGGCTTTTGAGAGTCCAGTGAAACAATCCTGCTTAGGGTATGGTTTATTAACTTAGAGTTCAAAATTGAACACAAAAGCCTTCCCCCAGCTTTAAGCTGGCCACAGCCTCAAACTCCCTGGGTTCTCAGGGTCCTTTCTTCCTTAGCAGGCTACTTCTAGCCGCAACCCCCCCCCAATAACTGAAGCAACTTCCCTGGTCTGAAGATCCTCTCTGCAGGAGCCTTTCTCACTCTTTTTGTAGTCTTTCTACAGCTTTCTAAGCATTCCCCCTTCTTTGCTGCTTCCTGCTGCTCTTTATAGGAGAATCAACTTCTTCATACCCAGTTGGTTCTACTAATTAACCCCAGACCGCATCCCAGGTGTGGTAGGCTAATTGAATGGGGAATGGCTAGAAAGGTCCTGGTATAACTTTTTGTTACCCACCTCTTCCATCCTCATGCTTCCAACTATTTGTGAGGTAAACCTGCATGTTGGGTTGTCATAGTGGCACTGGAAGATTGGTTATTCATTGTGTTATGTCAAATATAATCTTCTATAATTTAAAAAAAAATCTCAATTAAATATGCATTCACAGGTGAGAGATGCTGCATTATTGGCAATTGTGGAGATTTATAGACATGTAGGAGAGAAAGTAAGAGCTGACCTTAATAAGAGGGGAATTCCCTCTGCAAGGTAAGTCATTATTTATTTAATTTTTACCACTTAATTATTTTGATCAGTGCCTAGAATGCATTAAAATCCTGCTACTGTTAAATATGCAGTGCCACTTTTTATACCATTTATCAATTCCTTTTGTTTAAATTATAACATCATTGCTGTTTCTAATTCTGCTTGTTATGTAACAAATTATATGTAATGAGAACTGAAAACTCCTTACTTCATCTTTTCTGCTGGAAGATGCATGGGCTATATGATGCAAACCGCTTTACATCCAAGAATCAAATCAGATTTTTTTTTTAAAGTGGAGCTGGGCAACTAATGGGGAAAAACTCCTTTAATGTAATAAAAAAATCATAATGAACTTTGAACAAATTATTCAAATATATTGTGTCCAACTGTAGATTTGGGTTAATAGGTAGAGGGGTGTGTGTGTGTGTGTGTGAAATTTATTGGAAAATATTTGGAAATCATCCAGTAGCCTATTCTACAAATGTTATTTAACCTGCTCTAATTCTAACTCTATTAGTAGAAGGATTTCTTTCTTAGGGATCAAGAGTACAAAAGCTGGAGAGATTAGAAAGAGTTGCTTAATTCATATTCCCAAACAATTCAAGAGTTGATATTAAACTATCCAAAGTCTCAGCTTGTCCGCACCAGATAATTGGAGTAGGTAGGAGCAAGACATGGCTCAACTAAACCCCTTCCTGTGTCAAGACAGGATTCAAGGCATCCCCATTCTGATAGAAAGGATAAGCATAAGCTAATAGGTGACAGTTAAGACCATGCTGCAAATGGTGGATCTGATGACTGCAACTATATTCCTAGTACCCATCTCCTCCATATCTTCATGTGAGGCAACCTCAGTGGACCTTATGGTCAATGTGGAAGCAAACATCAAAGGGACTTACATTTTATCTGGGTAATAAATTATCTTTTGGTCTCTCTATCCTGGTGACAGTCCAGGGACAAACTGCAATTAGGCATGTATTTCCAAATTCCTACCATCTAAATCGTAGTGACGATGGATGTGTCCATTCTGAAATGGGTAAACCACACACAAATATTCCACTCTCAAGGAACTTGGTTTCTCCAGGAGCTGCATCTTCATGTAAATGTACCTGAGATGAGTGGATGCATGTAGGACTAACAGCTTCCTGTTTTCTCAAAAGGTTTTCCTCATTCAAACAGGCTGTCAGACCATCATGTTTTGCAAAAACAAGCAGAGAAGTACTGGTGCTTGTTACGAAGCCCTTCAGGGGAGGGGAGTCTGCTCTGTCCCACAAAACATTTTACAGCCATTCTGTACCTGTCATGCAAGAAGAATACAGTAGTAGACTGAGTTTATCCTGGGAATGAGCTCCTGCAAGTGGTCTCTGGATCAAGTTGGGATAGATGGAATCATTCTCCTCAACGTAAAGCTATCATCTTCTGCACTGGTACTGACAAAAAGCAAAACTTCTGTGTGCCTGTCTACTCCTGTAGCAAAGCTCAGGAAAGATAAACGTTAAATGATCCTAGTAGCTCTATGCTGGTTTAGACTGACATGCTTCTCAATTCTGTTTGTAGATGAAGGCCAATCTTTATCATATTGATAGTTTGACAGCTGATCATTACTCTTATAGAAACTTATTTTTACTGCTTTATGGATGAGTAACTTTCATTATTTTAAAGTACTGTAGATGATCTACAGTTTGAATACAGCTACTTTAAATTGACTCATTCAGAGCTTCTCAACTATTCCATTATATGACAGTGACTTACAAAGTGGATCATGAAGTTGTAAAGTAAATACGTAACTGAAAATGTTTCCCTTTAGTATTTGTACACATATATAGTTTAGAATGTCCGTATTGTTTCATTGTGTGTATACCTGCTTAGTTTGCATAAAAAAATATTAATGTAAAAGCTTACAGATGATGCTTCAGTGCACGCTGCTATAAAGTACTGGCAAAGCAATGCTTGTGTCCTAAATTGAGGAAGGCAGGAAAGGTTAATTAAGTGCAGTTTGTAAGAAATTTTTTGTAACTTCATTAATATATGAGGCATATCACATGTAGATAATGCCAAACAAAGTTTGTAACACCTCTAAGATTCCACTAGATTTAAAAGGTCTAGTAATCTGTGGTTGGGTTTTTTTTTAAATGCTTTTTTTGGTATTTCATTTTTGCTTTAAATATGTAGGGACTTTATAAAAACTTAAAAATTTTCACGTAAAGGCCAGCTCTCAGTTGTTGCAGGATAATTTGTATACAAGGCCCTTTGCACCTTCTGCCATGCTGGGTCTAAATTCTGTGTTAAACCCTGGTTTCTAAGGCAAATTGGAAAGTCTACAACATTTTCATTGAAATGGAGGTTTTTATTGAATTAAACCTGAAGACCAGTACAGTCATTACAGTACACCTTTTTGTGTTTGTTGTAATACGAAATGCAGTTTATTTTGCTAATCCACCACAGATTTCTGGGTGACACAGATTTTTGTATTGGCAATTCATAATTGTATCCAAGAAATTGAAGGGAAGCTGGGAATTTTGACAGATGTGTTGAGGGCATTATTGGAGCTTTTGACACAAGAAAAGGCGTGGGTGGTTTCAGTTATGGGGTAAACACACAGGTTGGATACGTTTGCTGAAATAATTTTGTTTTTAAATTTCCACCATTCAGGCTTCAGATATTACCCCACTGAAATAAATGACACATGTTAAACCTTTCCAAGCTCTTTGTTTCAGGCGGTCTGCAGACGTGGGAAGACAGCTCTCAATGCAAACTTATACTGTGTTATCTTCTCACCCATGAATGCAAAAGAGCCACTTTTTAAAAATTAAGGCTGTAGATTGTAGAGCATGCTTAATTGTGGAATACACAGTGTCCTGTTCATGTATAGACTGAGTCAAGGTGGATTTGTTCTAAATCATGATTTAAATCACTAATCAGGAAGACTATTTTGAAAACTTTTTAGATTAGTTTTACAGCTATATCAGAAAATGAATGATTGTTTAGTTACTTCATTTACCAAAGGTAATTGAAGCAGATAGTTCACCTCCCTTGACTTCATAAATATCTCTAATTCAACAGGTTAATCATTAATATTTGGAGGATTTTCTTGCCATGCTGTATTAGGAGGAGAACATCACCAGAGAAACATTTACATTGTTTTTTTTAACTAAAACAACGTTGTGTTTTCTGGATTTTTTTCTTAAACAGCAAACATAATATTTTAACACAACAAGCATATTAATTTTTGAATTTAAGCAAACATTCAAGTTTTTTAAAATCAGGTTTGTTTTTGTTAAAATTGTTTTTAACTAAAATAGTTAAATGAAATATTTAAAAAATCAAAAACAAAAATTAAATTGACTATGTCAGCCAGGTCAACATGAGAAACTTAAAATATTGGCTTCTGCACCTAACTCAGTCGTCTTCACCTTCATTTTCCTGTTTGTTCATAATCTGGAAAAGAAAAACAAGATTTTCCAGGTTCCCAACGATTTCTGAGTTTGGAATGAATTAATCCAAAGGAAGAAAATATTCTTTCTACACTGGCAGAAGAAGCTGCTGTTAAAAGTGAGATTGTCACTTTAACAGTCTCTGAATCCAAGTGCTTAAGTGACTTCCATCAGTTCATTTGTGACTTTCTTTAAAACATAATCAGCAAACATATATTTCTTGAATGGTTCACCCTTAGCTCTGAAGTTTATTATAGTTGGCATTATGGAGGGATGATTGCTGGATGTCCATGTCATAGCCAACTCCTCTTCTTCAGCAGTTAACGTTTGACCCTGGTACCAAGTATTGAGAATATTTGCAAGAAAATGAGCTGGAGATAGTGTTTTTCACATTTGTTTTTTTTACTGCTTGTAATTTAACTCTGTCATTGCATATTTCTCTCTTTAAAATCTCACTCAGTTCCTTCCAAGTTTCAACAGCGTCAGCAATAAAACAACTATTTCCCTGCACTTTGTTCAAGACTACAGAAATAGGCTTCAGGGTACTCAGCATGTGTTCAACATTTCTCTTACGCCCAATGTTGAGAACTTTGGCTGTGACAGTGCCATCTATTTTTTTTTTCACGATTTTTGTTCACAAACTGTCATCAGATTAGGCCATTTTTGATACACCGCGACCCGATATAACACAAATTCGGATATAACATGGTAAAGCAGTGCTCCGGGGGGGCGGGGCTGCGCACTCCGGTGGATCAAAGCAAGTTCAGTATAACGCGGTTTCACCTATAACGCTGTAAGATTTTTTTTTTGGCTCCCGAGGACAGCGTTATATCAAGGTAGAGATGTATAGTGCTCAAAACAGTCCACTACTGAGTTCCATCGCACATCTTGTGGGAGAGTTGCCTTGATTCCTCCCACTTTTTTCAAAGCAGCTGCTGCAAAGTGGTTGTTATCGAAGTATTTTTCAATTTCCACAACATTAGCCTTTATTTCTGGAACACTGAAGTCTTTGGCTAGAAGGTGCATCAAATGAGCACTGCAACCGATGTTATTAGCTTGGGACTCTCTTCTAAATAATTTCTTCTCTTCTTGGATACATTTGCAGCATTGTCTGTGACTGCTGTGTGTGCATTTCCTGATGTGTCAATTGCTTCTGTAAGGAAGACATTCCCTTCTTCTGTTGTCACACACGCACATACAACAGGATCATTGTGGACATTGCTCCACCTGTCAAGAGTCAGGTTAACAATTTTACCCTCTAGACCTTTTGCACACTGCTCAATTTCTCTTTCATACGCTTTATCCAGCAGTTTGCCTGCAACATCTGCTCCGTTGTGTGGACTGTATCCTGGTCTTAATGACTGAACCATGTTAATGAAGTGTGGGTTCTCAATCATACGGAAAGGAGAGTTGGTTGCATAAACAAACCGGACAATTTTTTCATCAATTACCTCCTTTTTGTAATATGCTGGTTCTTATCACAAACTTATCTATGGTTGTTTCTCGATGATGGAGATTTTTTTTTTTCTTTTTGCTACAGGTAATATACTGTGACATACATGATGTGAC